AGGTGTGTGAGGGACTTGTGGGCTGGCGAGACTGGGGGACAGAGGAGTCAGAGGAGACAGTCACAGGAGACATGGCACAACGGAAAGAGCTAGGACATGTAGAAATGATGTGGACCTTCCAGAGGGTGGACTGAGATCTTTAATATTTTCTAGTGTTTGAGCTCTCTAGAGGCTCAACAGTATTCCTGCAGTAGTACAGGGGGGTTGTGTGCAAATATTTGCATTTTCATTGTGCAGAAAGTGCCAGCCAGATGTGGGACTACTTGCATCACCAATGTACAGGAAGATGTTATTCCCACTGTAAAGCATTTATCAATCCAGTTTGTTTAATACTGAAAAGACTAATGGTAGCACTTGCAAAAGCATTCAGGTGACTTGTGATCTCCAGTCCAATTCACTGCTTAAATTAAGAGATGTGCCACATAAGGATTTTTTAGTAAAGTCTCAAATGAGCTGGGAGAGATAGCTTGGTGTACAGGTTTCCCTGGAAGAAACAGCAATAAGCCTGAAGGTACTTACAGGAAAAGAGAAAGCTGGTGTAGATATTATTAATGTAACATTAGTGGGAGAGAGAGCCCAGAGAAAGTGGAAATGAGTGTTTAGGACATTAGTTGATCTTGCAGTGATAACTGATGGTGAGGATGCTTATGGTTGCCTGGCACTCCCCTTTTCCATAAGCAGCTCTAGGTGCTCATTACTTAAAAAAAAAAAAAAAAGCAAAACAAAACAAAAACAAAACAAAAAGCAACAAACACACACATTAAAAAGATCAAAACAAAGAGCCAAAATCTGAGCTTCTCTAGGAGATGATCTGTTGCAGTCAATTGAGCTGTTCCTGACAACAGAGGATATTCCCTATGATATGAAGATATGTCCTGCGTTTCTTCTCAAACAGTTAAGAAGCATGTGCACCATTACCTCACGGATGATTCGTCTCAGGGAATACTGTGTTTTTGGCAGTGAACTTAAAATATCACACTTCAACACCACAAAGAAATTATTTCTTTGAAAAGAATTCAAGTACAAAACTCCCAACCATGCCCTTCACTTTACTATAAATCAAAAAAGCTCAGCTTACCCAGCTCATTCAGAAATAATGGCAAAGTTCTTAGCCAGAGTCTGTTGGCACATGTTAGCTGATACTATTTAGTAGCAACATCTCTCTTGAGATAATACGTAATATTTAAGTTTGTAAAATAGCACGTTTCTAAGACCTGAAGGAATGCTATTGGGATGAAACAAAATGCCAATTTTTAATATAAGGCTGGTTGCAGACTTTATTCTTCCTTGCCACTTAACACATACACATCATTAACCCAGAAATGTTTATGCAGTTATCGTGAAGAAGTTCAAATGATCACACGAGTTATAAATATTTATGTTGAGCATGCTTGGCTTTGCCGACCATCCTGTGTAATTTATGCAGAAGTTTTGGGGAACACAGGTTGAGGGGCAAGTTGCAGCTCAACAGTCCTACTCTTCAAAAGGGCAAAGAATGTAAGCACTGCACTGTGAGTTGGGCATGGCAAGGAAGGTTTCTGCTTGTCAGGGTCAAAATAGCCTTGTGTGGCTCATGGTACATTTATGATGTCTGTAATTTGGATTTGCCTCGCCAGGCAAGGCAAGTTATCTGAAGTTATCTGACACAGTTCTCATTTGGCAACTTCAACGAGCTTTGGAAATGCACAACCCAGTTTGCAGCCCTTGCAGAGTGTTTTTGCTCCTTAAAACTCAAAGGTATTACGCTGATTTACACCAGCCACTGATCTGCCCTTGGGATGTGCTTGCAGACGAGCTCAGAGTATCTGATGAGATAATTGTAGGTATGGACAGAAACAAACATGCAAGGCTATTTAGCGTATTAAATTTGGTAACCCTTCCAAAACTGAGCACTGACCTAGTATGTCCCATCTGGAATATCTCCAGGATCACAGTTATATTCAACATAGGAGCTGATTTTTGAAAGTGCCATTCATCTTTTTGCAAGTGCAGTTACATTAAAAATTAGGTTGCATAGGTTGCAAAATCAGACATTCAGATATTAGTGGGAAAGGCAAACTATGCCACAGCAGTTTGTCTCCCATTTTGTGGATGCTTTATAATTCAGTCGTCATGCACATGGTTTTGTGGTATGCAGTTTTCAGATACCTTGCTTCATGCAATATACTAACTAAATGAGCAGTTATCAAATTCTTTTTTCATCTGTCAGTGTGCTTCCATTGTGCCTTACGTACTGCATGCCATACAAATCCACTCTGAGGTACAGATGGTCAATTCTGTAATGCTTTCATAGGTCTCACCCTCTAGAAGAACTTGTATCTATTAATTGTTGCCATAAAAGACTAGCTAGCTAGCAAAACCAACTAAGTTAGGTGCTTAGGACGGGTTAAAAAATTAACTCCTCTAGGTTCCTACCTTCCTACTGAAAACCCCATGCAGTTAGATACTTCAGCAGAAACTTTATGAATCTTGATACTAAGCTTTTATTCTAATCAATGAATTTATTTTTACAATATTCCTATAGTTAAGATCATGTTGCTGTATCCCTTTTATAGACAGAGAAGCAAGGAGAAGCCTTTACAGTCAGAAGTGCCAGCTAGAGTTATAGCATGTAGACTCTCATCTCAGCACTTCCTGAGATCAGTCCTTCCCAAACTCAATACAAAGAGGTTCCTTATTTTCTAAGTGTCAAGCTGGTGACTCTAATATATTCTTTATTTTCTAACAGTCACCAGTTCACAAAATTTGCCTGATCTCATAGGAAATCTGTGGCAGAGGCTAGGATATGCTCCGGTTCTCCGGTACAGACATTTACTGAGCTCTTGATGTAATCACCCTTTATTTTCCCTGTTCTTCCTCAGATCCTGTGCACAGTGCAAGGAAAGGTTTTAGGGGAAAAAAATTAAGCAATCGTGTAACTAAGGAGTATATATAAAATCTAAAATGGCACAGAAAACCTTAATTCTGACACTTTAATTTTTGAGCACTTGACTTGGCAATCTTGCCAGTCTTTTAATATAGTTTTTGGGAATGCAAATATTTAAAGCCAATATATATATAAATTCTTGGAAAAGGTGAATTATCCCACCCTGCTGCCTTCATATTTCTTCTTTTAATGGATCATTAGAAGGTTCAGCTCTTTAGATTCATAGCACATCCTCTACCACTTGACTTAAGAGTAGAAGATCTGTCAGCAGAAGTCAGCAGCCTGCCAGGTTGGCAGAGGGTTAGAGAAGAGGGGAATGAGGAACTGAGGGGGGAGTGGAAATCAGTGCATTTCACATATCTTAATTAATTGCATAGATAATCTTAGATTCATAAGTAGCAGATGCAAATTCTCCGGAGAAGTGTGTTCTAAGGTTCATCTCCTGAAACTCTTGCCTCTCTTCTGCTTAACCTTTTTCTTGCCCTTTACACCCTCCCCATCTGTTTTTCCAGTCTTGCATGCCTTAACTGACTTCTGCATCCTCAAACTACCTCCTCCTCAGTTGCTTCATTAGTAATGATGATGATGCTCCATTAGCATCCTCCTCCCCTGGTTTTGCCCTTTCTTCCCTATGCATCTCTTATCTTCCTTTTCACTCTCTCCCCTTCTTTGGCTGCTTCTCTGCCCTGCTGTCCTTCACCCTTTAGGTCTTGATTTTAATGTTTTTTTACTCAACTCATCCTTTCTTCATCCATCTTGCCTCATCAGAGAATACATCTTCTCCTTTTGTTCTGCTTCTTTCCATCTGAGGTTGCTTCTTTCTCCTCCTCCCTGCTGCCCACAGGCAGTCCCCCAGCTCCTGGCCATAGGAGCTACCAGCAGCGCAGAGCAGACATTGCGGGGTTTGTCCTGCTCAGACACTGTACCAACGGGTGGGTGAGATTGCAGAAATGAGTACGAGGTTAATATGTGGGAGCTGAATACTGCGTCTGAGCTGCGAAGGGGTGGGGATAATCAGTGCAGATGGATTCACCTGGGAATTTACTGACAAACTCTTAACAGGTATCCAGGGAGAGCAAGAGTGAAGAGAAATGTTCATTACTCTGCTACGTGTGTGTACATTTTCTTAGGAGATGGCAAAAAGCGTATCCCTTGGCACAGAATCACCCCTGCCAAATGTTACGTCCCTGCTTCAAACCATAGTGACGCTAAAATATTCTCAGAAAAGAGTATGGTTGGTTTTGTTCTTACTATTTAAGTATGAGCAAAATATGTTTTTCCTTTACTAAGTTTTGAGAAATGGCTGACTCATTCTTACTGAAAGTTCCCAAAACTTGCGCTTGAGGTAGGCACCGGGCATAGAAAATTTCCTCCTCAACAGTTATTTTAGCAAAGGCAGAAGCAGGAGAATAAAAAATATTCCAATTGGACATCTTGAATAACTTTAAAAATAGTCTGTTGCTACCTGAACTATCAGTTACTGGATTTAAAAAAAAAAAAAAAAAAGGAAAAAAAAAAAAGAAAGAAATTCGTATGACATTTAAAGCTAAGCAGTCTGAGAAAATTCGTTGCTTGAAAATGTGTGACATTTTCTGATTGGGAAGAAACACATGTTGTAACTGCTCCCCACTAGGCAAGAAAATAGCATTTTTGGATGAAGCTTTTTCTTTCCTGTACCAGCAGTTTTCTGTCTGGGTTGGTTTGGAAACAGGTAGGGGATGCCATTGCCCAGTCATGTTCCACAGAGGAACACTTCCGATTTATTTTTTTTGTGAACTGTCAGAAATTGCATTCCTTGGTCCAAGGCTGAAGAATAGTTGCATTGGTTTTGAAGAGAAAAAATATCATGTCTGTAGTGTGACTATTTACACATGGGTGCAGAATTTCATGTTTATGTAAAACCTATGTTAAGCTTACATCACCTAAGAACAACTAGATTTTATAATTAACCGTATGAAACATTAAGGATTAATTCCCTGCGTTTTTCAAAAGGCATGCATAAGAAATCAGGCAGGGTATGAATCGTAAATGTTAACGTGCTGTACCTCTGTATCCCTCTTTTGACAGCGATTAGTGCAACGCTAACTGCACGTATAATCTGTGGCAAGGAGCACTGGGAGACAGCTAAGAGACAGTGACAATGTCTTTAAACTGGCGGGCAATTCCTACTCGACTTGGAGTTTTTAAAGTGAACTGCAAAGGACTGGCATGCCTCTTGGTCTTCACAGTGAGCGTTTGTGGCAGTGCCCCGGGGATGTGTCCAACAACCTGCATCTGTGCCAGCGATATCGTAAGCTGCACCAATAAGAACCTCTCTCGGGTGCCAGGAAATCTCTATAAATGTATGAAAAGGCTGGATCTGAGTTATAACAGAATTGGGTTTTTGGAGCCTGAATGGGTCCCAGAGCTGTTTGAGAAACTGAACACTTTAATAATCAATCATAATAGCATTAGCAGCATTATCACCGGAAGCTTTTCCACAACCCCGAATCTGAAGTACCTAGACTTGTCATCCAACAGCCTGAAGACGCTGGGCAGCCCTGTGTTCCAAGAGCTGAGGGCACTGGAGGTTCTCCTGCTGTACAACAATCAGATAACACAGATAGAGTCTTCAGCCTTCGGAGGATTGTACAAATTGCAGAAACTGTACTTAAGCTATAACTTGCTCTCGCATTTCCCGCTGGACTTGTACACTGGAAAACATAAACTGACAGACCTTGTGTTGCTGGACATTTCCTTTAATCACATCCAGTCGATGCCTATTCAGCGCCTGAGTTCAGTGCCAGCCAAACATCTTAGTGGAATTTACCTTCACGGCAACCCATTTTATTGTGACTGTATGCTGTACTCCATGCTAATCTTCTGGTATCAAAGGCACTTCAGCTCGGTGGCGGACTTCAAAAACGAGTACAGCTGTTTGTTGCGATCAGACCCAAGAGGTTACAATAAACTGCCGTTACTGCACGACAACTTTCTGAATTGCTCTGAAAGCACCGTCAACAGCTCTTTCCAAGCCTTTGGGTTTATTCACGATGCCCAGGTTGGTGACAGGCTGATTGTTCACTGTGACAGCAGAATCAGCGATGCGGGCACGCACTTTGTTTGGGTTAGTCCAGACAACAGATTGCTGGAGCCAGACAGGGAGATCGACAACTTTAAGGTGTTTCGGAATGGCAGCCTGGAGATAACAGATGCCCAGCTAGAGGACTCAGGGCTGTATTCCTGCATCGCAATAAATAAGAAAAGACTATTAAATGAAACCATAGAGGTTAGAATAAATGTTAGCAATTTCACAGTGAACAGGTCCCACGCTCATGAAGCATTTAATACAGCTTTTACCACCCTTGCTGCCTGCGTAGCCAGTATTGTTTTAGTACTGCTGTATCTCTATCTGACGCCCTGTCCATGTCAATGTAAGGCAAAAAGGAGGAAGAGGAAGCTGAACCAAAGCAGTGCCCACTCATCCATACTGAATTCCACACCGCCGCAAGAGCTGCCAGCCGACGAGAAGAAGGCCAGCACTGGTAAACGGGTGGTTTTCCTGGAACCCGTGCACGAACCAAAACACAGTCAGAATGGGAAAGTAAAACTCTTTCCTAATGACAATATCATTGCTGAGAGTATCTTAAAAACTACTCGAACAAAATCCGACTCCGATTCTGTCAACTCTGTGTTCTCAGATACACCTTTCATGTCGTCAACCTAGTTTGCTGCCTGTGTTTGTACCGTGCAGTTACATTTCTGAATACCTCCTTTGCCTGTAGCAACCGTCAGGAAAAACAAATAAAAAGAGAAAAAATGTTTTAAAAAAAGTATCTATTGTCAGTCCTTGAACTGTGTCTCCTCTCTTTGTGAGTGCAGGGCCGTGCAACAGTCATATCTTGTTTGGGGAAAGCAAACAGCGTGGCATTAATGTGAGTGTCTTCAATGCAAGCTTAGGCTTGGCTTTTACTCTCCGGTCCCCACACAGCAATTTCTCATACATCTTTAGAGGCGCTTTCAGTGCATACAGCTGACTCTTCAGAGACAGAGGCTGACCCCTATAAAACACACTCAGTCGTGCTGATAGCTCAGCTCCTCTGCAGTGAACACAGGAGCAAACTCAGATGGCTGCTGAGAAAAAGGCTTCCTGCAATTCCTTTCACAGGCTCATAAAATCTTTACAGTAAAATCACTAAGGGAAAAAAGTCTTGAGTTTGCTTGGACTGATCAGAACAAAAAGATTAGATTTGCCATCAGGATGCCTAACAACACTGGATAAATGTTTATGGCCTTCAACTGATAATGTGTTTGCCAGTAATTGCTTGAAAACTTTAAATGGGGGGCATCGTACTCAGTTTATTCAAAACTTAGTCATGGGATTACTCATGAGAAGTAAAGTGGTTGTATTTGTTTATAAATATTGACACATAATGAAAACAGGTAAAAGTGACCACGATACCTTTGCCTTAGTCGAGGAATGAAAGTTGTCAGTCATGAGGACTCAAGCTAATCAGCAGTAACTCATTAAGCTGCGATAGCTGGATTGATTGTTATCAGTTGTCTTAACCTCCGCTGCTTGCTGTATGCTTGTCATCACATGTGGTGAACAAGCCTGCCACCACCACCAGGGCTCCTGCTTCACCTTAGGGGTGGGTGGCTTCTCTTCGGAGGTAACTTCACAAAATAGGGGAAATATTTCAATTAATCCTTTCAGTGGCACATGGTTCCAGCAGTCTTATAAAACTTGCTTCCTAAAGATTTTTCTTAAAAGAGTAAATACAGTATTTGGACAAATTCCTGAAAAACATAGAAGGCTTTACACACTGTCAATTCGGAAAGCACAGCTTTTTTCTCGACTTGGCCCTTGCCTTATATGTACTGCTTCCTTCCTTGCCCAAATGTATCACTGTCAAAGTTTATGAACCTGCTAAGACTGGCCTGGACTGGTCATGCAACATAGGTTGCATGACGTGTTGTGTTATTGTAACTGAGTTATTGAGTATACTGTAATATTTGCTATTTCTTTTTCTGTTATATTTGCCCCCCCCCCCCTTTTTTTTTTTAAGCTTACTTACGTTGGGACTAGGCTGGACTTTACCAATCTCCTTCACATTGATTAGTACCAACTTCAAAGGAGTTTTGCAAGGAATTACAGCTTACCAAAGAAGAGTAATTGGAGCATGTCTGTCTCGTTCTATCTTTGGTAAAGGATAAACAAAATCAGAATCAAAGGGTGACACGGTATGGGAACCATAATTTATTTTTGAGAGGCTTACTGTAACAGCCACTTGCCATTTTTTGTGATTTCTTTTGAGAGGCATGTCATCATGCTAAAGCTTATATCTGGCTGAGCCAAAGCTATCAACAATTGATTTGCTATGGAGAAATCCTGATGTAGCTAATTGTTTGAAAGCAAGCTATCTGGAAAACAGATTAGATTAGGAAACAATGTTGCTGTGATGTGCACAAAGTATATGGAATTAGAAAACTGCTGGAGATTTTAATTCAGATATTCAGGGAAACGGAAGATGGAAATTCTTTTTCTAGGCAGAGAATAATAAATATTTAGGAGAAAAAGATGACCAGGGGTTTGGGTCTTTTATTTGTACATTTGTCTGTGTAAATTTAAAAATGGTTATCAAGCAGGTCAATGTCCTTTCGTAAAGCTCTCTCCCTCTTTTATCTGCATACATACATTAAAACAAAATCCATATGTTTATATATAAGGTATGATGGAAAAACAGTGATTGTCTTTGCTAAAATAAGTGATATAGTTGGGTCATCTGTCAATGAGGGAAAGGCTTGACACTGTCTCCTTCTCAAAGATTTTTTTAGTGAAAAGATTCAACTAAGCTGCGTGATCTGGGGCTGTGCCACACACGTGGTGGGTGTCCTCCATGTCATGCGAGGAGGCGATCAGTGACGCGGAGCCAAAGGGCTGGAACCGTAGTGAGGCAGAGTGGGAAGCAGAGGGGCAAATACTCCCGTGGGGCTCCTTTGCACCTAGGTCCCTCACCACTTTAATGGTGGTGAGCAGCTTTTCTCTTACTCAGGGGCCTATTGCATCAGTTCCAGTTGTCTCACAGATCAAAAATAAGGGTAATGGCCACAGACAGCTCTGGGAGGTCATGTCCTTGCCTCTGTGCGTTTCCAGTATTGCACATGCCTGCAAGGCATAAGCTTTTGTGGAGTGCGTTGGAAACCGGTCATGTGAGGCCAGCATGAAACTCTCAGGCCACTCCTGAGTGTAGCAACAGCAACTGCATTGTCCCCATATGACCCACCTGTAGTGGCAGGTGAGAGGGAAGGCTGCTAGTCATCTCTCCTGACCTTGATAAGGTTAAGTATCTGACTGTGACCACCTCACTAACGATGAACACATACAATGGCTGACTGCCCCTCAAATACGCTGAGCAGCTGCCTACCAAGCTGGAAGCTGAGGGTGAACCAAAGTGCTTTCCTGATACCAGCCCTTAATCTGCAGTCAGTTATGACAACCAGCACCATGTCATTTTAGCCCAGATGTTCACCACCTGCTTGTTAGGCAAATAGTGTTCCAGGTTAGTAATGTATCTATCTCCTTAGTGTTGCTTCTTCAAATAGTCAGATTTCTGAGGACAGCTAATGACAGTGTCAAAGGACTAATGGATTATATAGCTCGTTCTTCTAAACAAGCAAAACCCTAGGGTCAAGTTGTGGTTAAACCATAAACTTTCATTTAGGATAGCACAAGATTATTTCTTCCTACTCGAGTAAATCAACCTCCATCAGAGTGCTTTTATACCTCGACTGCAGCATATTCCTAATAACCTTGCATGTCTCTGAACTGGGTGAGAATAAACCAGCCTTTATGGGCCAAAGCATGCTATTGTGGTCATCACTAAAGTAATACAGAAGTGACAGTCCCCTGTGGACTACAGCCGCTGGCCATCCCGCCCAGCGCACGCTTCTGATCTCTTCGTCGAGGCTGAGCCATCACCGTTTGGCCGTGGCAGGTGCGGGGACCATTCCCAGCTTTTTCCTTTGTAGTTCTCTGTGTCAAGACTGGTGACCTGAAGACAATTTCTGGATGTACTGCGAAGTTGCTGGAAGGGATCGTTTTAATTGATTAATTAAAACAGCTACTTCCAAATGGCTTCTAAATGAGGAGAACTGGCATTGGTAAGTAGTAGCTTTTGAGAAGGCAGGATACACATTTCATTTACAGATTGAGCAATTTAGATTTTACTGACTTTCTTTTTGCTCTTTCTGGTAAACAATGCTTGAATCATTACATATAGAGAGAAAGAGAGCGTATATTTAAGGATTTTTTCCTGTGTTTCTTTTATGCCTTTCGATTTGTCTAGCAGGATAAGAGTAGAAATTTGAAAACGAAGGGGATAAGGACAAGAAATAATTTTGGCCAAAGTTCACTTGATATTTTAAAAAAAGGCTAATATCTGAGCTCTTGCCTTCAGTGGGTACGTGATAAAAATTAAAAAATGAAACACTTTATACATTTACCTAAATACAGAATTCATGGGTGTTTTGGAGGGTCTGGGTGTTAACAGAGTTCTGACAGTAATGCAGTTACGAAAGTGATCCACACAAAATCAAAGTGTAAGAGTATTAGTATTTGTTTTGGAAGAAGAGATATCCCAAACTTGCTGAAGAGGTCATGTCATAGGTAAAAGGATCATGCCTTTCTGCCTTACTTAATAGAAAGCTCTAATTTTAATATTAAATAATGGAACAGATGCAGTGGAGAAAATATTTTTCTTGTGAATTACTGGTTTATGCCCTCATTATGTTAGGTGGATTTTTTTTTCCTTATATAAATCTATTTACCTTTCCTTTGCAGAATAATTTAATTCACTGGAATAATATCTTCTCGTTCTCCTAATGAAGTCTACATTTGGTAGGGGAGGAGAGGAGGGTCTAGAATGATACAATCAGTTTGATGACACCTAGATATCAGGAAAAGTTAGTTGCGGATTCAATGTTTTCTTTGATGGAACACAGAATCATAGAATCATAGAATCATTTATGTTGGAAAAGACCTTTAAGATCATCCAGTCCAACCATATCCAACTGAATTCAACATGAAATTATCCAGGCAGGATAACCTGTAGGTTGTTTTAATTTAATTGAATTTTTCTGTCTTATTTGACGAATTTAAAATGGCATATTTTAAGCCTTTTATTTTTTTAAAGGAGAAAGACAATTCATGCAACTTCTTGCATCAACTTAACTAAATTGATTTAGAAACCATCACTAAAGTGAAACAATTCTCTTTGTTCGCGTAAGACAACTCTGGTATACAGAGAGGCTGCCCAGTCTGTATGAATATTTCTGATGGCAGTCCAGGATCAACTGCAAGTATTTCCTTGGCAAGCTAGAGCCAAATTGCATCATGCAGACCTTTCCTAGACAAGCGGGAAGATGTTTTCTTCAATCAGATTAGCTCAATCAACAAACTCAGTTGAAATCCTCATTTAACCCTTGCCACAGGTCACCTTTTGAATTCAGTGACTTTATTTGCACTTTTGAACTATGCATGCAGCATCACAGGCTGCTACAGCATATATCCCTGATAGGGACATCAGGAGAAGGGAAAAGCGGTGGGGAGGGAGTGAATGTGTTTGCTCGAGAGCCGCCTAATTCGGTACACTGCCAATTTCTCTCCTTGAGGGTTAATGGCCCTAAAATCAAAATGCTCACCAGGACCAAACAAACCTTAGACATCCTCTCCAGAAGGGGGTGGATGCTCTCATATCTGCTCCTTCTGCAGAGCACAGAGCCTCAGCAAGTGCAAACGTTGCCCTTTGCATAAGACAAAATGTCC